CAGAGAGAGACCCAGGAGGGATGCTGGCCAGGTTGTTCCCCTTCCTCCTCCAGGTCTAGGAATCTCAGCAGTGGGGGAAGGCAGGGAGGAGTGAGGGGCAGAGGACAATTCTAGTTATTTTCTAGTCATGGGAGATGGATACATAATGTGTGGGGCCTGTGTCTGTCATGTTTCTTGTGCTCTTGGCTCTGCTACATGTATGATTTTAGAAAGAGAGACAAGGGGAAGAAAGCTTCCCACCCTCTCCTGCCAGGGGGCTTTTCTCTCCTAGGCTGGTGCCTAAGCCACACTAAGTGTCCATTAATGGGATCAATGCTGTCCACTGGGACTGTCTTCTCCCCCATACTATTGGCTTGGAGGCAGAGGACAGGAGATCATTTCTCTTCCCTTGCTTGCTTGAGGAGGAGGGGTAGCTCTAATCTTCCTTTTTCCATTATCCCTGTCATCAGGGAGCATGGTCAGTGGTCCCCCAAACTTTGGGAGAGATAGAAAGCAACTGACTTCATCTCTTCCTCAGCCTTCCATCTGCTTCCTACCTCATCTCTGTCTCCCTCCCTCCCTTCTTCCCCCATCTGCCAGAGTTCCAGGACTGGAGGCCTTTTTAGGACATGCTGAACTCTCTGAGCTATTTCTAGGCAAATTCTAGGTTATTTTTAATAGCTTGGTCTCTTGTTATTTCCCCCTCCTCTCTGAAGGTGGCCCCTGGTTCGGTCTCCCTGAGCCAAGCTGGGGGCTTTCCCCGAGGAGCCTGACTGCCTAACCCTGCTTTTGCTCCAGCAAGGGGGTGCCCCGCTGCCTCGTGGCACGTGAGAGACCAGGTTCCTTGCTCGTTGGGTCTCTACCTTTTGAGTTGCCAGTTGCCTTCACCAGCATCCACCGATTGAAAGAAAGGCTTCACCCATTTTGATGACTTTCAGTCTTGCCCCTGATGAGACCTTGAAGTCTAACCTTTGCTCTGTAGCTTCAGCCTCCTTTATATCTTTCAGTTGTGAAATGGAGTTTTGATAGTATATATGATAGTACTATCAGATAGAGTTGTAGGATTTAAGGGTTCTTAGTATATACAAAACCCTTAGAATAGCACAAGGCCCAGAGGGAGTGCTATGAAAGTGTTAGCACCGTGGTTCTCCTATTGTGCTCCGCTGAGCTAGGGAATAGCTTCAGTCCTTACTGAAAACCTGGATCCAAAGGCTTGGCTGGATCACCCTGGTTGAGTCAGCCTTCAGGCCAAGCACCCTCCCCAGAGGGCCACCCAGATTGAGAATCAGGAAGGGCAGGCCTTGGGTCAGAGCCCTGGAGTGTGTGCAGAATCGGGAGGTGCGGTGGTAGTGGGCTACTCCTTTGCTTCCACTTAGCCAGGCCCCCTGGGAATCCCGCTGCCCCCAGCTGCAGACATGATGGTGCTTTTGTAGGCAGTGGCTGCAGCTGTGGCTCCTGTTCTGTCCAGAGGCCCGGGTGGCTGGGGTTGGTCAGAAAAGTGTGTGGCTGGGGCAGAAATGGAGAGACTAGAGAAGCTGTGTGTGGGAACTCTTGTTCCAGGAAGAGTGGGCTGGTCTGTTCTCTACTGAGAGTGAGGTTAGCCGTATGTATGCACACCAGCTTCTTCCCTCCATAGGGACCCTTTTCCTCCAGCACCCTCCCTACTCTAGACCTCTACGGGAGATGTGAACCCTGAATACTGATACTAGCTTCTCCTGGTGCTTAGCTATGTGCTGACCAGCGGAGGTGACGGGTGAATAAGAGAGCCCCAGTCCTCCAAGAGATGGCCATTTCTGAGTTTGGAGGTAGGGGGGATACTCCGGACTTGTCTGAAGGTTGGCCATACCACCTGGTTTCCTTTTCTGTGTGGGGTACCCTCCCCTCCCCTTCCTCCTGTTCTTTTCCTGGAGTGGCCTGTCATAGTGTTCTGGAGATGGCCCGTCATTAGGTATGGTGGAAAACGCATGGGTTTTGGAATTAGGCAGGTGTGGATTTGAATTCCAGCTTCCTACTTAATGCATCTCAGTGGGTTTCCTCAACCGAAAGACAGGAAAAGAATCCTCACATAGGATTGTCGTGAAGCTTCAGTGAGAGAATGCATGTAAGTTGCCTAGCCTAATGTCTGAACATTGGGTGGAGGGTGACCAACGTTAGTTCCTCATATCCCTGGCATCTAGCCTAGGGCCTGACCCATAGTAGGTGCTGGATACTATTACTTCCTGGTCTCGCCAGTGCCTGACACGGGGCCTGGCAGATGATAGGTTCTCAATACATAGCTGTTAATGAAAGCTGAACGCATGCCCTCTTCCTTGCTGCTCCCTGCCCCCTCCTTTCTCTGGACACTGGCTCTGATGCGGGATAACAGCTGCTAAGAGACCAGAGCTGTGGGAAGGGAGAGTGGCTCTGTGCCCTTCCCTCCCCCTCAGAACTGGCACAGTGCCCCGTAGATGCCTGTCTGCAGTATTGCTGGACACAACTTCAGGCCTTGTCCCCCAGAAAGGGAGATGGAGGAAAAGAGTGTGGGACAGAGGCCTCCAGGTCTGCCTGCTTCCACTTTTGAGTCTGTCCTTCTGTGAAGAGAGATCCTTGTAGTCAGCTGGGTGCCAGTCACCTCACCTTACCCCTTCCTTCACTCCTGGCCTGCGGTTCAGCCCCAGGAGACCCAGGCAGCCTCCATTCCCAGCATAGTCCTCCCTTGGGGAAGAAGCCTTGGCTGTGATCATGGAAAATTGTCCTGCCAAGAAAGTTGTAGCTGGGAAAGCATCTGGGGGGAGGTAGGAGAGGGGACAGGGTGGGGGCAGGGAGGGTGGGAGGAAAGGGGAAAATCATGGATGTGGGGAAGTATGAGCAGAAAATGGGGATAGGATTGGGGACAGATGAGAAACTTGCCCCTACCTCTATGCCAGCTAGAGTGACAGAGAGAATCCCAGGCTGGCAATGTTGCAGGGGAGATGGGGTCTCTGATGGGTCCCTGATGAAGGGTTGGGGGACAGACCCATATCGACCCCTTTGCTTGGCCTCTGAAACTGGTCCCTGGGTCACCTCGTGGTGCCAGTCAGGGCCCCTGTTACTTTTGCTCTCAGCATTCTTGGTATTTCTGGGAGGGCTCCAACTGGACTGGGTTTGGGGAGGAGGGCAGAGCCTGAGGTTGGGGCCAGGAAGTGGATAGGGAAGGCCTGGTCAGGAACAGGTGCTGGGAACAGGCGGTTGTTTCAAACTAGCTGCGCTGGCCAGGCCACTTGGTTTGGCGTGCATGTGTGTATCTACAGTGCACATGGGTCCTCATCCAGATAGTATGTGCATATGTAATGTGATGATTGTGTCGCCAAGTGTATTAATTTGCCTTTGCCAGGACTCGGGGAAACTGACTTCCGGCCTTCCTCCTTAGTTCTTTTTTTTTTTTTTTTTAATATTTAAGTTTTATTTTTTCCTCCTTAGTTCTTAACATTGGCTTGGTTCAGAGGGGTCAGGTCTGGGCTACACTGGGGAGGCACAGCGCTCTGGATGCTAACTCCGCCCCCGCCCCATTGTGCAGGCTACTGGTGGGCGCTCCACAGGCGCTGGCTCTGCCTGGGCAGCAGGCGAATCGCACTGGAGGCCTCTTCGCTTGCCCCCTGAGCCTGGAAGAGACTGACTGCTACAGAGTGGACATTGACCGAGGAGGTGTGGACCCCGTGGGGCTGGGGAGGGAGCATGGCCCGGGGAGGGCAGGAGAGGACTTGGCCTCCTCTTCCCTCTCCTCATTCGCGCTGTCCTGCCTCCAGCTGATGTGCAGAAGGAGAGCAAGGAGAACCAGTGGTTGGGAGTCAGTGTTCAGAGCCAGGGACCTGGGGGCAAGATTGTGGTGAGTACCGCTCTTTATGACTGTATGCAGGGGTGGGGGGTGTGCGCGTGATGGTGTGTGCGTGTGCACAGGTGTGCTTATAGAACACAGGCTGGCGTGTGGTATGATGGCCTGATTCCCAGGACCAAAGGTATAAGACATAGTGCCTGTCCTTACAAAGTTAAAACCATCTAAGCATCCATCTATACATTTGTCAAACTCTTACTGAGAACCTTTTAAGCATCAGGCATTGTACTATTTACTGAGAGAGGAAACATAAAGATGGAGGAAAAGCCTGGTCCGTGGGTCACAAAGCCTACTGCAGAGTTCTGGAAACTCGTTCTCTGTTTTTATGTGTCTGTTTCTCCCTGTATCATCACTAATACATGAAAATACAATTAATAATCCGAGTCACTGTGGGAGCAGAATACGGTTAATGTTTTTTTAGATTTTTAAAATTTTTATTTATTTGACAGAGTGAGATAGAGAGAATGTATGGGGGAGGGGGAGAGGGAGACGCAGACTCCCCACTGAGCAGGGACTCTGATGCAGGCTTCATCCCAGAACCCTGAGATCATGACCCCAGCCGAAGGCAGATGCTTAACTGACTGAGCCACCCAGGCGCCCCAGAATATGGTTAATGTTAAGTGAGCGGTACAGTCTCCAGTATGTGAAAGTCCAAAGGAGGAGTAGTGAGAAAAGCCTCCTGCGGGGGGAGCAGGGGGTGGAGGGTAGAGTTCAGCCAGCCTTTCAAGAATAAGCAATGCTTCAAGAGTGGAGAGGGGAGGAAGTTCTTCGCAGGCAAAGTGGTGGCACTGACAAAGGTCCAGAGCCAGGAACAGCTTGGCATGTTGGGGATAGGCCCATAGGGCGTGATCACGGAGGCACGAGTGCCCTGTGCTGGCTTGGTCTCTGGGGGTCCAGGCAGAATGTGGAACAAGGCGTCTTCCTACAGCGCAAGGCAGTGAGTGCAGATGGGACAAGTATGTGTATATTGCCTAATGCTAGGTGGGGTGGGGGGTGGTCCCCAAATGACGTGTATGTGTCCATGCGCTTGCCAAACGTCTCATGTGCGCTGTGTGGCTCTGGCCGGTCACGGCCCACATGGGGCAGGGTGTGGGGGGGCATGACCCTGCGTCGCCTCCTCCCACAGACCTGCGCGCACCGATACGAGGCTCGGCAGCGGGTGGACCAGATCCTGGAGACCCGGGATGTGATCGGTCGTTGCTTTGTGCTAAGCCAAGACCTGGCCATCCGCGATGAGCTGGATGGTGGGGAATGGAAGTTCTGTGAGGGGCGCCCCCAGGGCCACGAGCAGTTTGGGTTCTGCCAGCAGGGCACAGCTGCTGCCTTCTCCCCCGACAGCCACTACCTCCTCTTTGGGGCCCCGGGAACCTATAACTGGAAGGGTGAGTCATTCCTCAGGGAGGGGACAAGGGAACCAAAATGTCCTCTGACCTCAGAGGCGGGATTGGGGGGCAGCACGTGGCCAAGCATGCCCACACATTCCCTGCCACGGCACCCTGGGGCACCGCCACGTCTGCCAGCCCCCTCACGCCAGCACACACACACACACACACACACACACACACGGGGGTGTCTCCTCTCCTTCCAATGGCCGAGTGTTCCCCACCAAGCCAGCATGAGCCCCCACACGCACGGCTGGGCCTGCTTGCTCCAACACCTCAGCCCCACCGCGTCACTCTCATTCCCGGCTCCGCACGCCACCGCTGGCTGAGCTGACACTCGGTGAGTGGGGTGGCGAGTCTGTGGGACCAGAAGCTTGGGCTGGGCCAGGGGCAGCGAGGGGGCTGCAGAGGAGAGGAGGGGCTTCCCCGTGTGCCTGTGGAGCCAGCGTCTGGCCTGAGAGGGGCTCCTCGCTCCCCCGTCCTGGGCACTAACAGGTCTGTCCTTGCAGGCACTGCCAGGGTGGAGCTCTGTGCACAGGGCTCAGCGGACCTGGCACACCTGGACGACGGGCCCTACGAGGCGGGGGGTGAGAAGGAGCAGGACCCCCGCCTCATCCCAGTCCCTGCCAACAGCTACTTTGGTAGGGACCCCTCCCTGGCCCAGGGCTGCTCTAACCCTCTGCTCCTCTTTCTTGTCCTCCCTCTCCACACTCCCATCCTTCTGTCTCTGTCTCTGTCTCTGTCTCTCACCCTTTCTCTCTCTGTCTTTCTGTCTCTGATTCTCATCTCCCTGGTCTCTTTGTCTCTCTCATATTCTTTCTCTCCCTCTTCCTCTTCTACTGCCTTCTTCTTGCCATTATGTCTGGCTCTGTCTCCCCATTCTGTGGCCCTTCCTCCTTCCCTGGTGTGTCCCCCCACCTGCCCCCCGCAGGGTTGCTCTTTGTGACCAACATTGATAGCTCAGACCCTGACCAGCTGGTGTATAAAACTTTGGACCCTGCTGACCGGCTCCCAGGACCAGCCGGAGACTTGGCCCTGAATAGCTACTTAGGTTTGTAAGCTCCCACCACGTCCCCCTGGGCCCTGTGGGCTTGGCCTGGTCTCCCTTCCTCTCCTGTCCTGCCCTCACCAACACACACCCAGGGAAAGACATATTGGGCCCAAATTTCAAAGAAGCGCTAGGCCCAGTGACCAGGCCTGAGAAGATGCCCCAAGGGGGGATGGCCTAGGGGGCTGTGAACAGGGGTCTCCATGGAGAAAGAACCAAGTGGGCTGAGACTGTACTGGAAAAGGAGAGTAGAGCTCTAGTGGGACTTTCCCTGAGAGATGGATGGTGGGCACATGCCAGAGAAAGGTCTGTCCTTGCTGGTAAGTCTCTTTCATTGTCTCGCCTGCAACCCTCTGCAAAGGGGAGGAAACCAGGCCTGGGAGATGTTTGGGTGAATCAAGTTCTTTCCCACTGCCCCTTCTCTCCCGTTTATCCATGTGAAGTCTTCCTCTCCCTGTGAGCATGGTGGGAGGAGGGGGCAAAGAAGGTGCATCCGATGGGGCTGGGGCCTCCTGGGTGTGCAGAGGGGAGAGCAGCTCCCTGGGGGATCTTAGGCGTGGTGCCCTGCTCTGCTCTTGCCCAGCGGGCCGGACTTCCTAGCCATTGCCTTTCTCTTTGTTCCCCAGTCCCCGAGGCTGATCTCACTGCACTTCTTGTGCCAAACTCCAGTTTCTGGGCGTGGGAGGACAGCCAGGCCCCTGGAGGGGGAGGCAGAGCAGTCTAGCTGTGCTGGTGATAACTTGGAGGGCACCCTTACCTTTTTGCTACAGACCTGTGAGGAGGGAGTGGAGTGGGGGGAGCCCAGACACACCTTGGCTCCTGAGTCTTTCAGGGAGGGCTCACTGCTAAGTCACCCCACTCAGGTTTCTCCATTGACTCGGGGAAGGGTCTGATGCGTCCAGAGGAGCTGAGCTTTGTAGCAGGGGCCCCTCGTGCCAACCACAAGGGTGCTGTGATCATTCTGCGCAAAGACAGTGCCAGCCGCCTGGTGCCTGAAGTTATGCTGTCTGGGGAACGCCTGACCTCTGGCTTCGGCTACTCGCTGGCTGTGACTGATCTCAACAATGATGGGTGAGAGTGGCCACAGGGGAGTGGAGCCTGGGAGAGGCTGGGGAGGAGCCACACTGACTGTCTCCGTCTCTCCGTCTCTCCCTAGCTGGGCAGACTTGGTAGTGGGCGCCCCCTACTTCTTTGAACGCCAAGAAGAGCTGGGGGGTGCCGTGTATGTGTACCTGAACCAGGGGGGTCACTGGGCTGGGGTCTCCCCTCTCCGGCTCTGTGGCTCTCCTGACTCCATGTTCGGGATCAGCCTGGCTGTCTTGGGGGACATCAACCAAGATGGCTTTGCAGGTGTGATTGGGAACTGGAAAGCCTTGGGGGAGGGAGGGGCAGCGGCAGGGGTGGGGAAGGGCCTCAGAGGTCCAGGGAGATACCTTCTGAGGGCTCTGGGACAGAAGCAATCTGGGCTGGCGTCATCTTGAGCTTTACCAGCTGTGTGACTTGGGTCAAGTGAACTTTCTGAGCTGGTAATGTCTGCAGAGAGTAGCTAAGAGGCTTAAAAATGATGTGTGCAAGGTGCCCAGGACTTAGTAGCCTCTCAGTAAAATAACAAACATATTATATAGAACTGAGTGACTGAGGGAAAGTTAGGGTCTGGATGACCAACCCCCACCCCCCACCCCAAGTCTGACTACCTTTTTCCCATACCCACAGATATCGCCGTGGGGGCTCCCTTTGATGGGGATGGGAAAGTCTTTATCTACCACGGGAGCAGCCTGGGGGTTGTTGTCAAACCTTCCCAGGTGAGGGGGTTCGTTGGGATGAGGTGTGGGGGAGAGTGGGTGTGGGGGGAGTTAGGGGGAGCACAACAGCAGAGGGCAGGGGGTGGAGCTGGGGGTGCCGCTGTGGGGGAGCTGATGGTCTGGTCCCGCAGGTGCTGGAGGGTGAGGCTGTGGGTGTCAAGAGCTTCGGCTACTCCCTTTCGGGGGGCCTGGATGTGGATGGGAACCATTACCCAGACCTACTGGTTGGCTCCCTGGCTGACATGGCTGTGCTCTTTAGGTGAGGTCCTCTGTCTCCTCTGCCTCAGCCTCTCCCTCCCTGAGGCCCGTGCCTCTCTTTCCCTGCCTCAGAGTCTCATGTTCCTTGTGCTCAACTCCCTGTTCCCCAGGGCCAGACCTGTCCTTCATGTGTCCCACGAGGTCTTCATTGCTCCCCGAGCCATCGACCTTGAGCAGCCTAACTGTGCTGCTGGCCACTCGGTCTGGTGAGGCGGGGCCCGAGGGAGGCAGGGAGCTTTCAGGGCCCACTTCTCCCACTCTCCCTTTCCCTGCCCAGTGTGGGGCTGCAGCTGGGGTGGCAAGGAGGCGCTGGCCGGTCAGCCTTGCCTGGCTCAGGAGTTCCCCTTGCCCCCACAGTGTGGACTTGAGGGTCTGTTTCAGCTACATTGCCAGCCCCAGCAGCTACAGCCCTATTGTGGGTGAGTGAGGTCCCACTGCTACTTCCCACTTGGGTTTCAGGGTGGGTCACTCTGAGGTGGAGAGAAGCGAGTCTCAGAGATGGGGTCAGATGAGAGCAGTTCCCCAGCTCACTGGTTCCTCTCTCCTTTCCACACGCCACAGCCCTGGATTATGTGTTAGATGGAGACACAGACCGGAGGCTCCGGGGCCAGGTCCCCCGTTTGACCTTCCTGAGCCGTGGCCCAGATGACCCCAAGCACCAGGCCTCAGGCACTGTGTGGCTGAAGCACCAGCATGACCGAGTCTGTGGAGACACCATGTTCCAGCTACAGGTGGGCCCTGACCCCTTGGCCTCTGTGAGTCATTGTCATTGCATGATTTCTTCTCTTTGATTCCTTTTAGCTTCCTCCCTAACATGTTCACACTTCATTCTTTGATCTCAACTTTTGGGAATCTTCCCTTCTGGGCTGACCTCCTTCTCACCTGCTGCCTTCTGTGTCTTCTGCCTTCTGTGTCCAGAGTATAAGTTCTGTCCTACCTGGAGATGGAGACGGCAGTTTCCTTTGTCACACCTGGTCCTCAAAGCCCTGGATCCTGGTCTCCTCCCTTTTCCACCCCAGTTGCTCTCCCTCCCCCTCACTCTGGTCTCTACCTCTCTCTCTTAGCTTCTGACAGCTCTTGACAGCTCTTGACAGCTTTCAGAATCTGTCCTAGGTCTGGCCAGCGCCTGAGGATTGTTCTAGTATGCATGTCCATCTTTCCTGTTCCCAGGAGAATGTCAAAGACAAGCTTCGGGCCATTGTGGTGACGCTGTCCTACAATCTGCAGACCCCACGACTTCGGCGACAGGCTCCTGGGCAGGGGCTTCCCCCAGTGGCCCCCATCCTCAATGCTCACCAGCCCAGCACCCAGCGGGCAGAGGTGAGCATGGGTTCTGGCTTAGCTCAGGAGAAGGAGCTGGAAGGAGTAATGATCATCATCCCTCACAGTGACAAGCATTCATAGCTTCCAGAACTCTTTCACATGCTACCCTAGCAGTTCCTCACATCTCTAGGTGCTGTGACAAGTAGATCACAACATGGTAAATAGCTCAAGTGATCACATGTTCCTCGTTCGAGGGGACACTAATCCTCCATTCCATGCATTCATTCAGGGGCCTGGGCTGACGGGGATCTGCCATCTTCAGACATGGCCTCCAAGGTCCTTAGGTCACCTCCATCCCTGTCAGTTGAAAGGGGGAGCGTGAAGCTCTTCTGGTCAGTCTGGAAGTGATGTCCTTCACTTCTTTTCACATTCGAAATCTGGAATCAGTCGCATGCAATGTTGGCTAGGGAAATGTGGTCTTGTCGTGGGCTGTTCTGCTGGCCTCTACCTTAGCATCATCCCTTGCTCGCTTCACTGAGGGCCACGTAGCTTAGGGTGGTTCCGTGACCAGCTCAGTGTCACACAGCTAGTAAGCAGCAGATCTGAGAGTCAAAACCCCCTTGCTTCGTCTTGTGATATGCCACCCCACTGTGTCCCATGGCGACACATTCACCTCTTGCCTCACCCCTAGGAATGACTCTCTCCTCGCCTCTCTCCCTAGATCCACTTCTTGAAACAAGGTTGTGGCGAAGACAAGATCTGCCAGAGCAACCTGCAGCTGGTCCATGCCCGCTTCTGTGCCCGCGTCAGTGACACGGAATTCCAGCCTCTGCCCATGTGAGGGGAAGTGAAGGGTGGCAGGGGTGGGGGTGGGAAGGCAAGAGATCAAGGAAGAGAAGGAAGCCCCCTTAGGAGGGCCAGGCCGAGGGAGGGCGGAGGCTGATAATTCAGAAGATGAGGGTCAACAATGGGGCCACAGAGTCTCTCTTGGCAAGGAATACACCTTCCCAGGATGTATAATGATAATGGTAACTCCTACCATTAGCTCCTCTGTGGATGGAGAACAGGGGCCTAGAGAGGTTAAGTTCCTTGCCCCAGGAGAGTAGGTAGAAGAACTTGGACCGGAACAGCGGTCTCCTGGTTCCCTGTCTGGTTCTCTCAAGTGTGGGAAGGCCTGAGGCTTGGACTGGTGGGGAGGGTGCTGCAGGGGAGCCAGTAGGAGGAGAGACCAGGGAGCGGAGGTGGGAGGGGAGGAGGCAGGAGAGGGAGAGGCAGAGGAAGGCGTTCAGATTTAGAGCGAGAGTGGGATCTGACCTCCAGGGATGCAGATGGGACAACAGCCCTGTTTGCCCTGAGCGGGCAGCCAGTCATTGGCCTGGAGCTGACAGTCACCAACCTGCCCTCGGATCCAGCCCAGCCCCAGGCTGATGGGGATGATGCTCATGAAGCCCAGCTCCTGGTCACCCTCCCTGCCTCTCTGCACTACTCAGGAGTCCGAGCCCTGGACCCTGCGGTGAGGGCCTGTGGCAGGGTGTGGTGGGGTTCCTCTGGGGCTCCGGTAACCCAGACTGACCTCTCCCTCTCTCCCCACTGCAGGAGAAGCCGCTCTGCCTGTCCAATGAGAATGCCTCCCATGTCGAGTGTGAGCTGGGGAACCCCATGAAGAGAGGTGCCCAGGTTGGCGTGTCAGCCTTATCCCTGTCTGAGTGCCTCTCTAAGCCCTGAGTCCTTCTGCACCCCCTTGCCTTCCCAGACTCTAATCGCTCTCCACTCTTGGCCTAGGTCACCTTTTACCTGATCCTTAGCACCTCAGGGATCACTATCGAGACCACAGAGCTGGAAGTGGAGCTGCTATTGGCCACGTGAGCCTGGGGCACCCGGCGGTGGTGAGGGGAAGGGCAGCTGGGTTGATGTCCACCTGGATGGGGCTCTGCTGTCTTCACCTGAGCCCTCGGGGTGGCACCTGTGCCCCGTTGCCCAATGTGTGCTCCTGCACACTTACCAGGATCAGCGAACAGGAGTTTCATCCCATCTCTGTCCGAGCGCTTGTCTTCATTGAGCTGCCGCTGTCCATCACTGGGTAAGCTCTGTCCAAAGGGGCACATTGGCCCAAGGGGTGGGCAGTACTACTCCCAAGCTCTGGCCTGGGCTCTGCCTCCTGGCCCTCCAAACAGCCAGGCCCCAGGCCTTCTCAGCGCCCCCGTTCTGACCCTTCCCCACCAGGGTGGCTATTCCCCAGCAGCTCTTCTTCTCTGGTGTGGTGCGGGGCGAGAGTGCCATGAAGTCCGAGCGGGATATAGGCAGCAAGGTCAAGTATGAGGTCACGGTGAGTGTTCTGGTGAGGCCCCTGGTCGGGCCCCTTCTTTCTTGGTGCAGAGAGAGGCTGAGACATGTTGCAAGGCTGTAGTTCTCCTATTATATGGCGGCATGATAGTCCAGTGAGTTCAAGGCCTCCCCTTGCTCCTGGACCTTGATTGTGGGCAGGTATTGGTGTTGGGACCTTGTCATGGTCATCTCTGTGTGGACATCTCAGTTGCTGGTCTGGGTAGGCCATGAGGGTCCTGGGAAGATTTAATATCAGGGGCTTTGGCTGAGGGATGGGGCCGAGGGGGAGGAGGACTGATGTCTCTCCTTAGAACTCTGCTCTTGTTTGGCTGGGGCCTCCCCACCCTCTCAGGGACATCTCCAGGCCTTCCTGGTTTTGGGGTAGGAGAGAATGATGCCTGGTGGGGTCTAGGATCCCAAGTCTTTGTTGAAATTCTGCTTCCGGGGGGCCGTCCCCTCAGCTCTTGTCCCCACTTTCTCTGCAGATCTGTGACCCACTTAGAAACAGAGTGCCCTCCCTTCACACTCCCTTCTGCCCACAGGTCTCCAACCAAGGCCAGTCGCTGAACACCCTGGGCTCTGCCTTCCTGAACATCATGTGGCCCCACGAGATAGCCAACGGGAAGTGGCTGCTGTACCCCATGCGGGTGGAGCTGGAGGGCGGGCAGGGGCCCAGGCAGAAGGGGCTCTGCTCCCCGAGGCCCAACATCCTCCAACTGGTGAGGCTTAGGCAGGGTGGTCAGGACCCCTGAAGCAGGGTGGAGGGGGGTTAGACCTCGGGAAGGATGTCGTGGGGGCTGTGGGAGGCCTGGGGGAAGGCAGTGGGGAGGAGATGCCGTCTTGGGATTGCTGCGTTCAGAGTGACACTCACTGCTCACATTCCCCGCATCCAGAATGTGGACAGCAAGGACAGGAGGAGGCGGGAACTGGAGCAGCCTGAGCAGGAGGAGCCGCCCGAGCCGCTGGAGCCCAGCACATCCTGGTGGCCGGTGTCCTCCTCCGAGAAGAAGAAAAACATCACCCTGGTGAGGGCAGGGCAAGCATGGGGCAGTCTGAACGAGAGGCGGGGGTGTTGGTGATGAGGATGCGGGGGGACAGGGAGTTTTAGGGTGCTGGGTATCCAGGAGGTTGACCCATTGACAGGCGTGATGGTCACATACCTGGAGTGAGTTGACAAGACAGTTTATATCACAACTGTGAAGCAGCTGCTGCAGCATGGGTTCCCCTGTGACCACCGAGTATTCACTCCAGAGGGGGGGTCTTGGCCAGCGGCCAGTTGGCCACACAGTCAGTTCCTTGTTTGGCACAGTTTTGTTCTTCAAGTGGATGTATTGAGCCAATGAGTATGCACTCTGTGCTCATCCCTCGTAGGATGGCGCTGGCCGTGAGTGTGGAGCGGACAGATTGTGGGTATTTGGCCTGGTTTCAAGGAGATGGAAACCCAGGTGTGGAAGGGCGGGCAATAGAAGGAGTCAAAGAGACTGTTGGTGGGAGGATGTGAACAGCTGGGCCAGGTCTGGTGTCGTCTGTCTGGAAGGGAGCTCCACTGTCATACCCTGTCTCTCGTGGGGGCCCTCAGCTCCCCTGCTGAGGAGAGCGTGGTGGGAGGCAACATGAAGGCACGTGGGGGTAGCGTAAACTTGCGTCATGGTTGGTTCCCTGTTACGGATATTGTCCTGCCTTCTCCACGTGGCTGATTTCCCCCTGAAAGGCCTCCCTTTCTAAGGAGAACTTGGAAATGGATTCTTTTACTTAAAATTACTTTTCGACAAACTGACCAAGGATTCTTGAACTGCTCGAAGGTGGCAAAATGAAAGACGATTCAAAGAACTCAAATGCTCTCAAAGCCCTCCTCCTGTACAGGAAGTGTGGTGCACATAACATAATATTTAGAAAAGATTTTATTTATTTATTTGACAGAGAGAGACACAGTGAGAGAGGGAACACAAGCAGGGGGAGTGGGAGAGAGAAAAGGAGACTTCTCTCAGGGCAGGGAGTCTGAATCTGATGTAGGGCTCGACCCAAGACCCTGGGATCATGACCTGAGCCGAAGGCAGATGCTTAGTGACTGAGCCACCCAGGCGCCCCTGTAACAATTTTTAGGCAGACTGGATCATCAGGTGGGATTGGGCCAAATGGATGTGGGTCAGATCTGGAAGGAGATGGGCTTATGTCCCTGGTCCCCCAGCAGCTCCTGGGACAGCCTCCACCTCCTTCAGTGGGTTTGGGCTTACCATAGGAATGCACAGACCTGGATTCAAATACCTGTTCTACCGCTTACCAACTTGCCAGCTGTGCGAACTGAGCCAGGTCACTTGGCCTCTTTTTTTTTTCTTTTAGAGAATTTATTTTTGGGGTGCCTAGGTGGCTCAGTGGGTTAAGCCTCTACCTTCAGTTCAGGTCGTGATCTGCTCAGCAGGGAGCCTGCTTCCCCCTCTCTCTCTGTCTTTCTGCCTGCTTACGATCTCTCTCTGTCAAATAAATAAAATCTTAAAAAAAAAAAGAATTTATTTTTAAGGGGCGCCTGGGTGGCTCAATTGGTTGAGAGTCTGCCTTTGGCTCAGGTCATGATCCCAGGGTCCTGGGATTGAGCCCTGCATTGGGCTCCCTGCTCAGCAGGTAGCCTCCTTCTCCCTCTCCCTCTACTGCTCCCCCTTCTTGTGCTCTCTTGTACTGTCAAATAAATAAATAAAAAATCTAAAAAAAAAAAAAGAAAAAAGAATTTATTTTCAAGTAATCTCCACACCCAATGTGGGGCTTGAAGTCACAACCCCAAGATCAAGAGTCTCATGTTCCACTCACTGAGCCAGCCAGGTATCCCTCCCTCCTCTTTTTTTTTTTTTTTAAGATTATTTATTTATTTGACAGAGAGAGAGAGATCACAAGTAGGCAAAGAGGCAGGCTGAAGGGGAGGGGAAGCAGGCTCCCTGCTGAGCAGGGATCCTGATGTGATGTGGGATTTGGGGCTCGATCCCAGGACCTGAGATCATGACCTGAGCTGAAGGCAGAGGCTTAACCCACTGAGCCACCCAGGCACTCCCTTCCTTTTTTTAAAAGTGATTTCTTGGGCCAACATGGGGCTTGAACTCATGACCCCGAGGTCAAGAGTTATGTATGCTCTATGGATGGAGCCAGTCAGGTGCCCTGCACCTGGCCTCTTTGAACTTTAATTTCCTCATTTGGAAAATGGGGGGTGATGATAATATGCACCTTGCAGGACAGCTTTGATAAGTCCCTTGCAGATAGCAGGTGCTCAGTAAATGGGACTGTTGTTCTGTAACACAAGCATTAACTGGGGAAGCTACTCTGTTGTTGCTGTCAAATAAGAGACCTCCTCCCTGCTCCCCATGTATTCCAAGGCCAGACAGACCAGATTTGGGGTAGACTGCTCTTTTGGACCATGAGGTTAGTCTGGGAAGACTTTCTGGAGGAGGTGAGTTTGAGGTCGGGTGAGGAGAATGGGAGAGATAAGAGTGAGGAACAAGGGCAGTAGGGGGTCCAAGGTGTGGGAGCTCATGGACGAACGGTGTGAAGTCTCTGGGCAGATCCTGTGTCCATGTGAGCACCTATATCAGGGTGCTGGGCCCTGGGGAGGCTCAGTGGGCTGGGGCCAACTGGCTCAGAGCCCTGCCTGTCCTGGTCCCTAGGACTGTGCCCGGGGCACTGCCAGCTGCGTGGTGTTTAGCTGCCCTCTCTACAGCTTTGACCGTGCCGCTGTGTTGCATGTCTGGGGCCGCCTCTGGAATAGCACCTTCTTGGAGGTAAGAGCACCGTGGTTGTGGGGCTGGCATCTTCTTCCCCAGACCCACTGCTCTTTCTGCCTTCTCCTTGTCTGAATGCAGCACCCTCTTAACCCAAGACAGGAAGAAATGTCCTCTGTGTTGGGCACGATTCCACTTACAGTTTTGGGAGCTGGGGTGGGGGGCCCTGGAGCATTGAGAGAAGGCGGTCCTTCTCTGCTCCCGTAGGAGTACTCAGCTGTGAAGTCCCTGGAAGTCATCGTCCGAGCCAACATCACCGTGAAGTCTTCTATCAAGAACTTGCTGCTCAGAGATGCCTCCACAGTGGTGAGCTGCGGGCCTGGGCATGTTGGTGTGGGGAATCTCTTCTTTCCCTCTGCTCCAGCCCCTGTTCCCTTAACTCTTCATTCCCCAGATCCCCGTGATGGTTTACCTGGACCCTGTGGCCGTGGTGGCAGAAGGAGTCCCCTGGTGGGTCATCCTCCTGGCCGTCCTGGCCGGGTTGCTGGTGCTGGCGCTGTTGGTGCTTCTCATGTGGAAGGTGAGGCTTGGGGCTGGGGATGCTGGGCTCCCTTGGCTGGCTGCGGGCCTTTCATGCTACGCTTCTCTGTCCCACCTGCTCTCTCATTTCTTTGGCCCACCTGCACCAAACACTTGTATGTCCCAGGGACTCTGTTGGGCTCTGGATGATTCAGAGAGAAGTCAGATGCAGATCTGATCCTCTGGGAGTTGATAGTCTAGTGGGGGTGGCGAGCTCTGTAGGAAGGACCAGGCAGAAGGCACTAAGGCAGGAGAGAGCCATGGGAGTTCAGAGGTGAGAAAGCTGGAGATCATGGGGCTTAGCAGAAGGTGGGGTCATAGGATCTGGAGGTGGGAGATGAGGTGGGTGGGACCGTGGGAGGCAGAGCCATGGAGGTGGGGGAGTGGGGTCTGATTTAACCAGAGCATGGCAGGGAAGGCTGGGAAGGAAACTGTGACAAAGAAGACACAACAGCGCAGAGAACCTTCTCCAGGGACTGCCTCCAAGACTGAACTCAGACCCTCCATGTACCAGGCTCTACATGGAACCGTCTTCATACACACAGAGTGTAGACAGAATCCCGTTTGTGCCAGGGCTCCCACCCAAAAGCACACACATGCACATGTCAGTACGGGAATCACTTCCATCACCCATTGTCATACCCTGAACTGCATGCCATATTTGGGCTGTGGGGCACCATGCATGTCTTTGGGGCCCTCTGGAGAACTGCCCCCAGTCCTCCCTGGACCAGTTGCAGAGCACGAGTACTGTTTGGCCAATGTGAGTCATCAGCGAACTGGGCCCCTGGATGAGCTTCCCAAGTTCGGGAAACCTGGTCAGCCTTCGAGGAGGTTCATATTTTCATGAAACTGGCTCCAGAATCCCTGTTCCCTGCTTTCTTGGAAGGGGGACAGAGTAGATAAAGGCCCCATCTCTCCTGAGTCTTCCCATCCTCCACCTTTTTTGCTCCCCTCCGCCCTTGATATCCCAGTGTGGCTTCTTCCATCGGAGCAGCCAGAGCTCATCTTTTCCCACCAACTATCACCGGGCCCATCTGGCTGTGCAGCCCTCAGCTGTGGAAGCCAGGGGCCCGGGGACTGTGGGGTAATTGTGTGTGTGTGCATGTGTGTGTGTGTGTGAGTGTGTATGTATGCGTGTGGTGGAGCCCCCAGCATTCAGGGGACCAGGGTGAAGAAATGAGATTGCATGAGGGTGGTGTGAGCTCTAGGAACAGGGGTGGGAGGTCATTATAAAGGTGAGTATTCACAACCGGAGGCACGCGCAGCGGGTTGGCTGGGCTCATGTAGTGTGAGCATGTGGGAGTGCAGGAAGGTGCTGTGCATGGCTTCTCTGTGGGCATGAGACAAATGTGCAAGGACATGCTGTGCAGTCTGAGCATGTAGGAGCCTCAGGTGGCCCCGAGTGTGAGTATGCAAGGGACATATTTCCACCTTGGTATGGAAGGGCCAGCATCTTCATGAGGTAGGGAGGGGCGAGGCCACCCTATTCATGGACCAGAGGGCCCTGCCCCAAGGGAAATGCCATTTGGGTACATGGGATGAGTGTCTGGGGTTTGGAGGACTCATTCCCAGTAGGCAGGGGTCTAGAAAGCCATCATTTGGTCTCAGATCTTGTTTATGTTCTGGGGCATGCTGTTGGGTCTCTTAAAAGGCTTGAATGAGGTCAGTGGTCCTGCTGCTCCATCTTCAGCCCCCTCTTCCAGGACCCAAGGTAGAGGTCCTTGGTCCTGCATCTTTGGCCCCTCCTGGTCTTTCTCTGGCCACGCGCGAGGACCTGGGGGCCCGGCATGAATTGTGGCACCTGTGGGGGCCATGCACTGCACGGGACGCTGTCTGCCCCAGCTTCTTCCTGCTGCAGCGGTGGAGGCAAGGTGCTGGGCTGTGCTGGGCATCTGCCCCGGGGGCCTCAGCCCTGTAGGCTCCTCACATCTGGCCTGGGGTCCTTACAGATGGGATTCTTCAAGCGGGCGCGGTACCCCGAGGCCACTGTGCCCCAGTACCACGCGGTGAAGATCCCGCGGGAAGACCGGCAGCAGTTCAAGGAGGAGAAGACAGGCACCATCCTGAGGAACAACTGGGGCAGCCCCCGGCGGGAGGGCCCTGATGCGCACCCCATCCTGGCTGCTGATGGGCACCCTGAGCTGGGCTCCGATGGGCATCCCGTGTCGGGCACCGCCTAACACCCTGTGTCCCAGCCTGGCCCACGGGTCCCCTCCACCCTTTCCCCAGATATGGCTCCTTGGGGTGAAGAGGGTAGGGTGGGTTGTTGGCATCCCATCAGGATGGGACAGGATCTGCTTCCTCAGCGGCATAGGCATCTCCCCCTGCCAACAAGGAGCATCCCCCAGGACTTCCCCTTAGAACACTGTGAGATGAGGGTGGTAAATCAGGAATGGGATTGTGGGGTAGAAGGAGAAGGACAGTGATGTCCTGATGAAAACGTGGGAGAAGGGACCCTGATCCCTCCCTCTCCCATTCATCCTGTTTAACAGGACCCCGAGGACCTGTCCCCCGGAAAGTGCCTTAAGCCCAGAGGGTTGGGGAGGAGGTTGTGTTGCTGACTCAGGGGCTCTTCCTTCCTTAGTTTCGCCTCTCCTCTGACCTTAGTTTGCTGCATCAACCTAGTGGATTTTGTCTATTTATTAAAAAATATTTGAGGACAAAACTTCTGGCTTCTTTGCTGAGTGTTGCTCTCCCGCCTCCAGGGTCTCCAGGAGAGGACTGCTTCTCTGCACCCCCACAGCTCAGGACAAAGGTGGCAGTGGGAGGGAGGGCCGGGGGGGGCCCAGCAGGAGCACATGACTTTTGTGACCAGATCCTGGAGGCACATGGCTGTGGTCTCAAAGAGGAAGGGGACCCTTACTATGGGTACAAGGGAGAGGGACAGGGAACCACCTTAGCAGTGGGTGGGCAAAAATTGGGAGACCCAGTCTAGGAATTTAGGAATATAGGATATGACAGGATATTGCTTTCCTCCCTGTGGTCAGGTCAGGTTAGGAATAGAGCTTTTATACTTTGGAAGGAAGGATTGAAATTAGATGCCAGGCAGAGATGGGGGAAGGAAGGAGAGGGGCTGGTGGGGGGAATGGCTTCTCTGACTAGATCCCGCTCAGGAGAAGACAGGTTAGCCGGTGGGTGGGATTGCTCTGGCTGGAGGCAGGAATCTGGGAAGGGTTATTTCACAGCCTTTCCCATGATGTGGGGCCCAACAGGCAACCACTTGAAGGGAGGGGGCTGGTGTTCCATTTGGAGTTGAGAGAACTGGGCACTCTCGAGGTCCTTCCAAGTCTCTCTGGTGAGGCAGCAGCCATCCCCAATATGTTTCCAGGTGGGCTCTAAAACTTGCTGCCACAGAAAGGCTCAGCTTCCACGTGGCTCAGCCACATGCTCCCAGAAAAAAAACACTCCTCCCTGGGAGAGAAGAGAAAGTTAGCGTCACTTCTTTGCTCCATTCCACAACCTTCCTCCCACCTCACCTCCACCCCGCTCTTGGTGAAGTGGGGATTCCCAGGTTTATGAAGCACGTTATTCTGCTTCTGACTTTCTCTGTAGGCCCTGGCTCCTCCCCTCCCACTCAAAAGCGCATGTGAAGAGCTGCCCAGTGCGGGTGACGGGTGAGCCATCTTTAAAGGATGACTGAGGGACCGCCTAGCAGAGGGCAGATGGATGGGGAGCTGGAGAGAGAGGAGCAGAGATCTCACTGTAGACAGACGCTGTCTTCTGAGACTCAGACGCATACATCCAAACTTATCCTTTGGCCAACATCCTAGGGGAAACTTGCACCTGACTCATGACTAATACTGGGGTTCCTTCCGCCCTTCTCTCCTTGCTGAACCCTCTCTAGGTGATCTCATGCACCCCTGTGCTCTGAATTTACAGCTTGTGACTTCCACATCTTTCTCTGACTTCCAACTGCCTCTATGGCTTTCCTGCCTGCCTGTTTCAGTGGCACCTCAGACCTAACAAGTCCCAAATAGGTTTCTCTCATTTCAGCAACTGAGACTTCCCTCTACCCTCCCTCTTTCCCTCCACCAGTCACTCATGCCAGAAACCGGGAAACCGTCCGCAAATCCTTTCTTTACCCATCCCCAAATCATATGGATTCTATGGACTCTATTATCTCTATCCAGAACCCTTTTTTATTTTCCTCACTTCCCCACATCCTGCGTAATCCCTCAGATCTCAATGTAAACATCACTTTGTTAGGTGTCTCTGCCCCCGGGCCCCCGCAGCTGCTGCTTTAGATGGCTCTCCTGTGGGCTTCTACAGCACCCTATTCTATCCCTTGGAGGCCCGGTCATGTTCACTGTTGACCAGCAGGTGGCGGTGGATGGGTGTCTCACATGCTAGCACACCAGAGTCCCGATCCCAGAGCGGACCTGCGGCTGTCGCCTACCCCACAGCTGTCGCTTGCCCTACGCCCATTCCCTTTCCACGCTGCTCACCGGCCTCAGCACTCTGTGGACTTCCTGCAGGACCCTCTTCGGACTCTGCACGGAGCACAGCACCAGGGTGCTGACCACCACATCCATGCAGCCGTCCGCCAGTCCTTTCATGTCCTCTCCGGAAGCCACCATAAACTGTTCATACTGGAGGTGCCTGTTCTCCCCCATGCTCTTGATCAGGAACTTCTCAAAGTGGGGGTTTGGGTCCAGGCAGGTGATCCTGCAGCCTGCTGGGTAGAACTGGAAGTTGGTCCCAGTGCCGCAGCCCAGCTCCAGCAAGGACACCTTCCCGGAGGTTCCCGCAAGCCCCTTTATCTGGATGAAGAGCTGCTGTTTCTTACTCTCCATCTTGCGGTTGCACTTGGCCGTCAGTGCCGCCATCAGGTAGGGGAAGCACATTTTGCACAGGGGCTGCCAGCAGCCCAGCAGAGCCAGCAGGTGCAGGGGCAGCGTCAGGAGCAGCACCAGCAGCTGCAGGAGGCGGACAAGGGCATCCATGACTCGCCAGTTTGGAGCCAAGTTCTGCTGGGACACTGGCCTTTTCTCTGTCTCCAGTGCCACAGACGGGAGCCTCTCCCCCTCCTGGGTTGGGACTTTGTTCCCTGTGTCCTACTTGTCACCTTTCTCTTTGCCAGGGTACAGTGGGTGCATGGAATCCCTCCAGAGGGCACAGGTCCTACGGCCCCATAGTTTTCTGTGGAGTGAAGGGACAGGTGGCATTAGTGCCCTGAGTTCTGGGGCGCTGTGTGTTGAGGGTGAGGGTGTGCTGATCATTTCAGAGAGGAGTGGGAAGGGCAGAAGGGGATAGGTCTCAGATCGCAGCTTTGTGGGGACCAACCTGGGACGGGTCTGACTCATGGGCCTGTGCTGGCCTCATTCTGTCCCCAGAATCTGGTTATGCAAGCTGGGAAGTCTGGTTGGGTTCCCCTGGCACACCCCCAGCGTTCTGTAAACTGTAACATGCCTTTGCCCCAGATAGAAGCCAAGCACAGAGGATTCCGAGTAAGGCCAGATTGGTCAGGAGAAGGAGGGAGACTGCAGGTCAAAAGAAAGGCATTTTCTCAGCTGACTGGTGTTTATTATTGCATTCAAGACTGTACTGCCCCAGCAATAGAAGAAAAGAAGGGAGAAAAAGACAGCGTGGGGAAGAAGAATCAACAAGCCCGGATCCCATTATAACTTGCCGTGTTCTTTGGGCAAGTCTTTTTACTTTCTGGGCTCCAGCTTCTCAACTGTAAAATGAGGAGATGAAGACAGATTGGATGGGCCTTCTGTAGTTTCTAAGGGCTCCTCCTGCTCCTGCATTCGTGTGATCTAAGGGGAGTGGGGGAGGACAGGCGGCAGGTGACCCCAGCTCTCCTCACAGCCCAGGATGGTACTCCCAAGACTTTGGTCCCAGGCTGCCACTGAGGCAGGGCAGTCTCAGAGCCCAGACTTTGGGGTCACAGGCATCTTAGCAGAAAGTCCCCACATGATTAAGCTGTGGCTTCTCTTTGGGCGGAAGCGTGGGGGAAGCTCCCCACAGACAGTTCCACAGGCTGCCCACCAATTGCCTAGTGGCCAAAGGGAATTCTGTAGAGAGAAAAGAAAATCAACAGCTTGGCATTATACAAGAGGGAAATGACAGTAGTCTAAAAGCTCATGAGTAGCATTTCCCAGGGCCACTGATGGCCTCTGGGGGAGGACTGAGTTTAAACAAAGTCTCTGGTGGAGAGGGCTGCTCTGTTAAAGCCCACTGCAGCAGCCCTCCAGTCGAGCCCACTAGGGTATCTGCTCTGGCCTATGGGGGACTTAGAGAAGAGCTGTGGGGATAACTATGAACTATTTCAAGAAAGTGTCTTTTCCCACACAGAGCTGCCCGAGCCAGGGGCAGCCCCCGTGCTGCTGCTCAGGAGAGCGGTTTTGTGACCTCCCACAGTCAGACGCAGCCTTCTCTGGGCTTAGCTTCTAATGTGACTGTAAGGGAGGCAGCATTCTCCATAGCAGGGGTACGAGCTCAGGAAGGAAGTGGCAATGACCCAAGCCTGGTCAGAACACGGTGTGGGCACCCAGCGACCTTCTGCAGTAGTGAAGAGAGTCAGGGGAAGCCAGGCCAACTGGGGGCTACCTCTTTCTGGAATGGGTGAGGCGCTCAGTTTAGTGGAGAATGGGGTGAGCTGGAGAGGTGGTGGGAGGTGAAGTCAGAGAGTAGTCACTCCTGACAGCTTTCTTTTTGCTTGTAAAAGAATCGTTAAACTCTTTCTTGGAAAAGGTAATACATTCACATGGCACAGAATTTAAGAGGTACAAAGAGATTACAGAGAAAATTCTCTCTTCCACTTTAGTCTTTCAGTGACTCAGATCCTCTCTCCTGAGGCACTAAACATCACAAAGGCAATTTCTTGGAATCTTTCTGGAGATGGAGATGATCTGCGAAATAGCAAATGACACACCCACCGCACATTTAGATGTGTACACACGTGTGTGTCACACATATTCCTCTTTCTTTACACAAATGGTAGCACATTGTCCACACTCTTGAATACCTTGCTTTATTGGGTTTAGCCGATACTGCCCAAGGACCTTCCAAAGTAGCTGTTTTTTATTTTATTTTTTAATTTATTTGACAGGGAGATAGAGAGCACAAGTAGGCAGAGTGTCAGGCAGAGGGAGAGGGAGAAGCAGGCTCCCCGCTGAGCAGAGAGCCCTGTGTGGAGCTTGATCCTAGGACTCTGGCCATCAACATAACTGACAGTCACCCAGGAGCCCCCAAAACGGCTATTTCAATTTACACTTCCACTAGTAACATTTAGTGTTATGCATCTTTTATCTATCTATCTATCTATCTATCTATCTATCTATCTATCATCTATCTATCATCTATCTATCATCTATTATCTATCATTTAGCTATCTATCTGCCTACCTATCATCTCTACTCATTCACTCATTTATATTACTATTGACTCACAGATTTCCTATTTTATTCAATGGGTTGTAGTCTTGATGCCCTCTTTAGGTATAGTTTTATTGATGTATAATTATGAACAAGAGAACATACATAGTTACAGTGTATGCTTGATGGATTTTGACATATGAATACATCTGTGAAACCGTTACCACATTCAACACAGTGAACATGTCTACCAACCATGAGCGTTTCCCCACGTCTCTTTGCAATCTATCCTTCCCTCTTTCATCCCCATCTTCAGGCAACTGCTGGTCTGCTCTGTCATTATAGGTTAGTTTGCATTCTCTAGAATTTTATATAAATGGAATCCTATAGTATGTACTCTTATTGTCTGGATTCTTCCTTCCTTCCTATTTTTTTTTTAAGATTTTATTTATTTATTTGAGAGAGAGCGAGCAAGCGAGAGAGTGCACACACAAGCAGGGGAGCAGTAGGCAGAGGGTGAAGAAGGAGGCTCCATCCCATTAAACAGTGACTGCCCGTTCCCCCCGCCCCCAGTCCCTGGAAACCACCATTATAGTTTGTCTTTATGATTCTGACTGCTCTAAGTACCCCCTATAAACGGAATCATACTGACCTATTTTGCTTAGCCAAATGTCCTCAAGGTTACCCATGTTGTAGCATATTGAAGAATTTCTTCCTTTTTAAGGCTGAATAATATTTTGTTATATGCATATACCACATTTTGCTTATCCATTCATCTATCAGTGGACATGGGTTGCTTTCATGATTTAGTTACTGTGGATAATACTCCTACAGACATGGGTATACAGGGGTACCTGGGTGGCACAGTGGTTAAGTGTTGGACTCTTGGTTTTGGCTCAGGGTTGTAGGATCAAACCCACCTCGGAGTCTGCTTCAGATTCTCTCTGCTCCTCCAGCTCATGCTCTCACTCATTTTCTCTAAAATAAATAAATAAATCTTAACCACCCCCCCCACCCCACGCAGGTGTGCAAATATCTCTTTGAGACCCTGCTTTCAGTTCTTTTGGGTATATTCCTGGAAGTGGAATTGCTGGATTATATCATAATTCTAGGTTTGATTTTTTGAGGAACCACCACACTGTTTTCCACAGCACCCATTAAGAATGACATGGGGTTGGGCCACCTGGTGGCTCAGCCAGTTAAGTGTCTGCCTTCGGCTCAGGTCATGATCCTGGAGTCTGGGGATGGAATCCTGCATCAGGGGTCTGCTTCTCCCTCTGCCCACTTGTGCTCTCTCTCTTGCAAATAAATAAATAAAATCTTAAAAAATCCTTGTGTTCAAAAAGTAGTTACATTTAAGATAATTTTACTTCTTCCTTTGCAATTCTGATGACTTTTATTTCTTTTTCTTGCATTGCTTAGGCTAGAATTTCCAGTACTGTGTTAATACAAGTGGTGAGGGGCGCCTGGGTGGCTCAGTGGGTTAAGCCTCTGCCTTCGGCTCGGGTCGTGATCTCAGGGTCCTGGGATCGAGCCCTGCATCAGGCTCTCTGCTCAGTGGGGAGTCTGCTTCCCCCCCCTCTCTCTCTGCCTGCCTCTCTGCCTACTTGTGATCTCTCTGTCAAATAAATAAATAAAATCTTAAAAAAAAATACAAGTGGTGAAAGCAGGCATTCTTTTCTTATCTATGTCAGAGGAAAATGTTTAGTCTATCACCATGGAGTGTGATGTTTGCTCTGGGTATTTATTAGGGTTATGTGAAATATATTTTAGGGAGAATTGACATACTTTTTTGTCTGAAAGTATGTTATATTTCCTCAATTGTTCATATCTTCTTTTGTCCTGTCAGTAGTATTTCAAAGATATCTTCAGGTAGGTACCTAACATTCATTCATTTCTTTCTTTCTTTCTTTCTTTCTTTCTTTCTTTCTTTCTTTCTTTCTTTCTCTTTCTTTCTTTCTTTCTTTCTTTCTTTCTTTCTTTCTTTCTTTCTT